CCTGGCAGAACCTTTTGCAAGTGCAGGAGATGTCACATCCACATCACTGTTCAGCTTAGCAGAGGCTGCTCCCTTACCCCTGGGCAAAACTTGTCCCCCACACACTCACCTGTCTCTTTGAACACTCATCTCTAGGAGAATTATGACCCCATAGCAGATGTGGAAGAGGTGTTTAAGATTGTTTCTGGACTGGGAAGATTGATAAGGATGGAAGTGCAACAAAAATGGTATGTTAAGCATCAGGGAACTACTACAAGTTCCTGCAAAGGCACAAGGATGGCCCCATGAAATGTGTGACAGCCTGAAGAGCTGGACTCAGAATAACCCCTTGAGGCTGGTGCAGAAGGTGTGCTCTTTCGTTATACAATTACTTCGCCCACCCTCAGCATGAAACCTGGTGGAAATGGAGGATAGAGCTGTTCATTCCTCACCCTGTTAAGACCTCTTCTAGAATGACTTTTCCCCTGAGAACCCCTATATGGGAAAGGTCCATCAATGTTTTATTTTGGGACCAGTGCTGGGTCCATCTCCTTCATTTTCTCCCTGATGTTTAGTGGGAGACCTGTTCTTCCAGGTGCAGGGCCAGATATTTCACACCACTTCTGCCTGCACTTAGCTGCAAGCAGACGGAGCCACTGACTCTCATCTAGCAGCACCATGAAGCAGCTCCTGGTGTGGAGCAAGGGGCCTCAAAGAGAATCAGCCCTGCAGTGATTTGAGATTAGGGAAGAAAGTGGCACCTTCTCAACCAAACTGTGCTGAGCGATGCACAAATAAGCTCTTGTCAGTTCTTGTCATCATGATGTTAAGAACATTTATATTACATTGACGTAACAATGCCGATACTTCCACTGAGGAGCATTACTGGCCTAGGATATGCAAAACAAGGCAACATTTCTTCAGCCAACAGAGGAATGACTGAAAAGCTGTGTATTGCCAAATCTGATAGATTTCACAAGATAGACTGCTAACCTGTGGCTATATCCATCTGCAAATCAAGCACACTGGTGATTAATAGCACCTTCCAAACTAATGTATTTTTTGAGTCTACCATATTGCAAACAACAGGAAAACCTTCTTAAAAGAAAAAAAAATTAGCTGAGGAATGTGAGGAAATTCTGCAGTGATTGATCCTTAAGGCAGAATAGAAGATCAATAAAGAACTTCTCAAATGAATCTCTCTTGCAGAAGATGTTATCAAGAAGGCCCTGAGTAACCTGCTGTAATGGCAAACTTGCCTTGGTTTTGGACAGAGAGTTTGGCCACATGCCTTCTTGAGGGCTCTTCTACTATGAACTATTTGCTGTCTAATAAAACAAGAAAGCTCTTCATGTGCTGCCAACCCTTCCCCTGAGATGACACTGTCAAATACACCTTAACCAATGGCCTGAAATTGCACATTCAGATCTTCCTGCACCCTGAGATGTTACTGATGCTTTGATCACTGGTGTCTGATGATATTCTCATGAGAAAATTGTTCTCTGTTAGATCAATGATCTGTTAGATCATTTCCCTTAGGGATGAGCAGCTCTACTGCCTGACTTGTGCTGGGCCAGGACCTTAAACAGATCCCTGCTGCTGCAGCAAGTGATGAGAAGAATCTGCCATAGGAAGCTGCATGTTCTCCTACCAGCAGACAGTGAGAGAAAGCTCACAAGCACAGAGTCATCCTCTAAATAAAGACAAATATGAAAGAGAAAACTCAAGAGTTTCATAGGTGACTATCAACAGTGCTCTCAGGGATATCAGAACATCTTATGCCCTACCCACCACCTCTACTTCCTCCTAGCTCTAACAAAGAAGTTGAATTCATCAGAGGGATGAAGGAGGTGTTTTGGTGGAAGTTTATGAGCAAAGTAATCGCATTCAGACCCTCCACAAATCTATGTGGACTTCAGTAGACCTATGCCCATTCAAAACACCACTCACATTTTTATACTGTGATATTCAAGATATCTTCACTGAAAAGAGCACTGGCACCTCTTGGCAAAGGAAAAGTGGTATGAAGCAATTTATTATCACTCAGTTAAAGAGACTTTTCTAATAAAATCTGTGATACAAAGTTCTCTAGTGAACACAGGAGCTTATGAGAAAAAAAATCAGGCATGACCTACCTGATTTAGCTTCCTGTGAGCGCAGTTTACTCCTCCAATTATCACCATGTTGGGCATCAATGGTCTGGGATAGTGGAACACAAAGTCTAATCGCAGAAGCCAAATGGAGGCCTTGCGTAAGAGATCCAGCACAGTGACATCCCACTGGAGGAATTCAGAAGCCAGTTTTGTGTATGGTTGAAAAAGAAACTCACAGAGAAGAGAATTTGGGATGACAAAGATCAGATTCTTCACCCGCTGGAAAAAGTTCATGTGGTCTGTATTCTCTGAAAATATTCTGGGGACATAAGAAGGGGGATTGGGACACTGAGTGGCTTCAAATTCTAAACCACATGGTATTTGCTGCAAGAGAAACACAGTAGGAACTGAAAGATGCTCAGCCAGTATCTGCCCACAAGGTATTACAGGGTCTGTAAGGACAGCATCAAACTTGCTCTCCTCAAGATACCTGACAAGCTCTTTGTTGTACAGTAAGTGTGTGCAGGTAGACAGGAGCATGGCAGAGGTTTTTTTTGACCGTTGATAGAATCTAACAACTCTTTCCAGAAAAGATCCTTCTCCAAATACATCCTGTGAAAATGCTTGGAAATTTCCGTCCATCTCTTCTTGCGTGAAAGGGACTGGGTACATCTTCATAATAAAATTCTTTGTTGGCTTTATTTGTAAACTGGCTTCAGGTGCAACAACAACTATTTCATGTCCCTTCTGCCTCAGAGCATCCAACACTTCCCGCATGCTGAGCCAACGACTCCCATCCACTGGCACCACCAGCAGCCTCCCACCAGCAGCCAAACTGAGCATGGACAGGAGCAGAACCAGCATTGCCATGACTTGAGGATGACCACTAAGCACAGGGGCCATTTCTGCAGGAATCTGGTGAGTGCTGCCCAGAAAGAAAACCACTGGTGGCACTGAAGCAACAGCACCAGCTCTGCGCTTTTAAGCAATCTGTGCTACAGCATAACTTTTGATCCTTAAGGTATTTGCTGTGTGGTAAATGTATAATCACTGATTTGATAAAAGGCTGGATAACAAGCACTAGAGTTCAGCAATCTGTGGGCAGTTGGTAAATGCGGTGGGTGCACCAGATAAGCACAATCTGTCTCTATTAGAAAAGCTTTGGCAGCTCTATTGGCTTTGAGCAGGATCTGCCAAGCTACCACAGCCCTTTCAGGCTCATTGAGACTGATTTTGTTCTCAGATCTCACATAGCCATCGCCAAGACGGAATCTTCTGAGCCCCGCCTATTAACAGAGATGGTGCTTCCTAGCCTGAGAGTCCTCAACCTTTTTTTTCCAGCTTTGGAAATACCCTTGAGAAGGAACAGACAAATTCCTTGACAAAGAAAAAAGTGGTAAGGCAGCAAGGGTGCCCCAGGACAAAAGCCTGATGTGAATTTCTCCGTAAATACCAGACTCTACTACAACAGTATGCAAGGTTGTATGGGTTATACCTAACTTCAAGACTTTGACAGCCCCTCAGACTTGCCTGCTGCTCTTCCATCCCTCACTGAGGGAGAAAGAGAGTACTAAGTTACTAAACATTACCCAAATCAGCTTCGAATATGTGTGACAAAAAAGGCATCAACTAAGCATACTTTCTAAGTGAGAAGGACGAGCTGCCTACACAGAAAATGGAAAGTGAGGAAGAAAGGAGAGAAAAATAATTTCTTTCACGAGTATTTGCCTAATGCACCCCAAAGGGGACCATGATTCCTACCGGCAACACTAAATTCCTCCTTTGTGAACACAGAAGTCTGTCAGAGCTTGAATTAAAAATGGAGCATGACCCACCTGAGGTAGCTTCTTATGAGCACAGTTCACTCCTCCAATTACAATGATGTTGGGCATCAAAGGTCTTGGATAATCTAACACAAAATCTAACCTCATGAGCCAAATGGAGGCCTTGCGTGAGAGATCCAGAACAGTCACATCCCGCTGAAGGAACTCAGAAGCCAGTTTTTCAAATGGTTGAATGACAAAATCACAGAGAAAATAATTTGGGATGTCAAAGATCAAATTCTTCACTCGCTGGAAAAAGTTCATGTGGTCTGTATACTCTGTAAATATCCTGGGGACATAAGAAGGGGGATTGGGGCACTGAGTGGCTTCAAAATCTAAACCACATGGTAATGCTCGTAAAAAAAACACAGAAGGGACTGAAAGGTGCTCAGCCAGTATCTGCCCGCAGGGTATTACAGGTTCTGTAAGGACAGCATCAAACTTGCTCTCCTCAAGATACCTGACAAGCTCTTTGTTGTACAGTAAGTGTGCACAGCTGGAGATTGCCATATCAGAGAGTCTTTTCATACCTTGGTGTATTTTAAGAAATCTTTCCAGAAAAGTTCCTTCTTCAAGTAGATCTTGTAAAAATGCCTGGAAATTCTCATCCAGCTCTTCCTTTGTGAAAGAGACTGGGTACATTTTCATAATGAAATTCTTTGTTGGCTTTATTTGTAAACTGGCTTCAGGTGCAACAACAACTATTTCATGTCCCTTCTGCCTCAGAGCATCCAAAACTTCCCGCATGCTGAGCCAAGGACTCCCATCCACCGACACCACCAGCAGCTTCCCACCAGCAGCCAAACTGAGCATGGACAGGAGCAGAACCAGCATTGCTGTGACTTGAGGATGACCACTAAGCACAGGGGCCATTTCTGCAGGAATCTGGAGAATGCTGCCCAGAAAGAAAACCACTGGTGGCACTGAAGCAACAGCACCAGCTCTGCGCTTTTAAGCAATCTGTGCTACAGCATAACTTTTGATCCTTAAGGTATTTGCTGTGTGGTAAATATATAATCACTGATTTGATAAAAGGCGACACAAAAAGTACTAAGTTCAGTTAACTTCACAGGCTGGTGGTGTGTGGTTTATACACTGGATAACCCCCATCTGTCTCTATTAGAGGAACAGTAAGGAGTGTCCCAGGTAGGAGGCAGGGGTGGTTCTGGGTGGGACAGCACTTCTGATAGCCTCCCCCTGGCAGAACCTTTTGCAAGTGCAGGAGATATTTCAAATCCACATCACTGTTCAATTTAGCAGAGGCTGGTCCTTTCCCCCTGGGCAAAACCTGTCTCATCTCTCTCTCTCTTTGAACACTCATCTCTAGGAGAATTA